CTGGAAATACAAGTATGAATGTGCTTGTAATTAGCCAAGACAATATTATTATGTCGTATTTGTATGTACACGTACTTGTATGTATTGGTAGCAGATGGGCTTCGCAATTAGTTTTCAATTGGCTTTTCAACTTACAATGCCTGGTCCGTGAAACGTGTGCTGTAAGACTCTCGTGCCGGCGCCCCGCCGCTAAGCCAAATCCAAAGGAAATGCCTCCAAATGACGTAAATGAATAGACACACGATTTGTGGTTTGGAGCTAACTAACAGTCTTAGTCTCCGTCCCAGCCTCAGTTGGTGCGGTAATCGGCTAATTGGATTGTTAAATAATATGCAGATGCCGCTCGCAGCTGCAGGAAATCCTATTCAACATTTTCAACATGACCAGTGAGAGTTTTCTGTATACTTGTACTCGAACCGAAGTATTGGTATTTGTATTGGATTTTACTTCCATATACCCACGAATATGTTTATGAGATATTTTACAGTCCAACAATAAAATAAGTGTCGTACAAAAACATTTGCCACTAATTCGAACAAATTGCAAATTGGCTTAAACTAAAGCAGACACACACATTCAAGTTAATTGAGTGAGCTAAGCAGTCACTATAGGTCTGGTAAAAAGGTATATAATTGTTGCTTTTACTCATAAATTACATTTATTTTGAAATGTAGTATTGTAAATTGGAATTTCTGTGCAATAGAACAAACTGAACTGTCTAGTCCAGTTAACCTACAACTAGAAAATATAGGAAAATGCTGTATTGTGGTATATTTTTCGAATATTATTTAAATACTTACAATTAACCACGTTCTCTGATCATTAGATTTTCGGTAAAAGGAGAGAACTTAAGCTTTTCAAACTGCAATTGAAAAAGAAGTGATTTCAAAATAATAAAAAAAAAAACTAATAATTGAATTATACAAGTATAATTTTTGAATGAAATAAGATAGAGATGCATATAATTTCGAGCTAAAGTCGAACATGAAAATGTTTATATTTTAAAAGCTTGCCATACTCTATGTTCGGAATCTGTGTTTTTACAGACTCCACTGACCTTGGCTGGCGTTTTGTGAGAAAATTGTTCTATTGAAATATCTTTGAAATATCTTCTTGTTCATTGTAATAACTGTATAATGCCGCTATCGATGAATAATAATTGCTTTCATGTTATTCATGGGAACGAAATCAGTGAATTCAGTCACACAAATGCTTCATGGCATTATTTCCATTCATTGCCAATAAAAACAAAGGTATACATACATACTTGTATAGTATGTATGTGTATTACAAGCTTATACTTTTTCATGATGGTTTTTTGACCTGACTTGAGTTTATTTCCGATCTAAACGTCTTCTAATGTCATTAAACTTTGAGAAAAGTAAACAACCAATCCGGGCTAATTGAGGCTACACTCAAGTAAATCAATTAAATTGCTTAATGATTTGATAACAATTCACACGATGACTGACGCTAAAGACTCGAAATTATTTGGAAACTGGTTTGCAGTCGCAATTTTGTGTAACATATTCAAGTAAGCCATTCGCATATGCATAAAAGAATGCTTTAATTTCCAATTAAAAATGCAAGGCGAACACAGGAAGAATCACTTTAAGCCGCACATAACTCATTGAGAGATCAAAAACACAATAATACGATTACGTACAAATAATATCTGGTTATTGCCCTTTTGCCAACTTGCGCTCTGTGAATTTGTATTTATTAGACTATAGCCAAATTAGTCAGCAGAAATACAAAGAAAATAACAGTTAACATTCGTCAAATGTTACAAATGTTATTCTTACCATTTCGTTGATTATATTTCCACACACATACATACATTTGTACTAAACAAGTGCCTCACTGAATAAGTACCTTGGTTTATTTTTTGTTGCTGTCGTTATAATGTCAGTTTATTGTAAATGTGTTGTTGTTCCATTTGGCCTGAACAATAGCGCAAAAGTTCAGCCACATTAAACCAAATAATTGTCTTAAAATTATAAACAAAACGCGCCACTTTTTGCTTTTTATTTGGCGCATGTCATTTGCGTTTTCATGCCCTTGAGAAAAATGGTTACTTCCATTCTATGCTGCTCTTTGCAACGTACTAATCATCACTGTAGGCCACATTCCTCTATCTATCTACTATCTCAATATCGAGGGTTATCAGAGCCAGATTTGTTAACTATACTTGTCGACCTTAATCCTCATCCCATAGTAAGCTAAAGCCTAGTTTCCAAGAGGACTAGATTAGTGGACGGGGCGTCACGTCAGCTCTCATGTTCAAGTAACAACAATTCTGTTTGGCATCAACGAAAATACCTCGCTATCTGATCCGTTTGAAAATTAATCACATTTTATAATTAAAATGATTCATACAGCATCGAAATAATTATATGCATATGTATGTTAGCACACTTTTCCGAGCTTTTCAAGTATCGATGTGAGCAATAAATGGTAGAAAGCGTTCGAGTTTTGGCTACTGGTTACTGAGAACCCTTAACAATGAAAGAATTACATTTTATAAAAATAAATTTCTGAACTTGTCTTAATTTTGTTTTTGATGTACAATTTACAATTGTATATTCGTGTGTGGTGCTGATATGTTGACACCCGAATGCGAATGCTTTTGCCATTCACTCTTTAGTCGGTTTGGTGATTTCGAAATACGGATCCCAACCAATCGAACATAGTCAATTTTTTATGTAAATAAGGTATATACATATATAATTTGTAATTTATTTCCTCGAGACATTCTAACAAAGTTCTTGAACTATATCATATACATTGGCGATATAGTAACAAAGACTAGATGTCTAGCAAAAGAATATACAAACTTTAATATGAAGTTTTAAAAATATCCTAAAGTATTAATAAATGTTTGTTAATATAATTTTATTCATCAATTTTAATGAGCTTCTAGGGTATACAATACCCGACGTGCCAAACTATTGTTTATTGCTATCATTTAATGGTCACATAGGGGTTACGTGTGCAAATTCAGGTCGCTGGGTTTCTCTAGCTTCAATTCCATGCAGCTCTGATAATTCCAGAATATGTGCTCACCTGACATCTGAACACCTGAAGCCCCCCTAATGAGCTCATTACTGACATTTGCCAAGCAATATGTTATTGTTGGCCAAATCAAAGGCAGCCATTTAGGTGCGTAGGTCAGCCATAAATACTATACATACAAGTATATATACTCTACCATTTACATTTATAATCCATGACTTAAGCGGCCATTAAAGGCATCTTGTTTTATGATTACCAGTGCGGTTTTATAACTGCCGCGCTTAATGTGCGTTATTATTTTATAATTTTCAGCAATGGTAATTGAAGCGTGCAAAAATTCATCAGCTTTACATACATTTTTTAGCGAACGGAAATGATGGAACATTTAACTACCGATAAAGGCGTGGTAGAAACATGTGCTTGCAGCTGCATGTACCTGCCTATATCTATGAATAGATATATCTGTACATATATACTTGTACAAATATACATACTATGTGATGTTAATTATAAGTATTTTGGAAAAAAAACAACAACATTGAAAAACGCTCACCTAAAACTCAAAACTGCTGGCGCGGTCGTTAGTGATTGGCAAATGACTTTTCAAACTAGCGCACAAATTTTTTAACCAGTTTTTGTAATCTTGTTGTTGTTAGCCTTTATCTAATTGTGTGTGTGTATTTTTTTTTTACAACAACACTGTAACTATTACAACAGCATCATTTGCGAAATTTGTCAAACACGCAAAGTTAAAAGCGCCAACGCATTCAATTGCAGTGTCGGAAGGAAGAGCTCAATTATGACACTGTGCAACCAAATTGGGGTACTTACGAGTAATTCGGATCAATAAAGTTGTTTATTAAACTATTGAATTATAGAATATTAAATTAAATTATAGATTTAATTTACATTTCAAATCAACATTTGAGTTGTAAATGTTGGACTGATTTTTGCTAAGATTGAATAAATATGTGGGCTAGCACAATTTTTATAGCACGATCAAATCAGGCAGAAGTTAGCTAAAGATTACCTTTTTAAATTTTAATAGATCATATGCAAAGATATATTTATTTATGAGCTGTTCAAACAAAGAGTTAGATTTATTTATTTTTTTCATTAAACTTCTTTCAACATACAAGTTTGTTCACCTTTTTTTATTAATAAATTGAATTATACAAGTATGTGGCTTTTAAAATCATGTAATACTTATATACAAATGTGTAGATTGCTTTCCTATTCTGCCAAGCAAATAATTAGTCTTCAAAGGGGCAAACACAATAACTTCTTTTGAGGCCACTTTTCTTAATTGCTTGACTACAATTTTTGAACGGTCAGTGTGGAATGTATTCAACACATATCGATTGGACGTGGTATTATAACTTAAGCGCAAATAACGTTTACTAATAACTATTAAAGTGCTGCTAGCATATAATGTTTTGAAGACAACATTTGCTGACTCTGTCTATTGTGCTAGTTTATTTAAATTTGTCCATAGCTCCGCTTCTAGTCTCATTAAATGGAGAAATAGATCTCATTAAGAACACTTAATGAGCGGTTCCTCAAAAAAATTGAATAAATACGAACGGTACATCCCAAACTGCATCCGAAACTAGTCTGTACAAGTAGATCCCCGAATTAGACGCTCAGTGCTCGGGACAAGTTGACAAACAAATTGTCATCCAGGCACGTGTACATGTGCGAGTTGGCTGGAAATCGATGAGGAAAGAAGAAGTGAATTGATTTGTATTCGTGCGAGCTAAAAATATTGACAGTAATAAGTGAGTTCGCAGCACGAGAGAAATTTGCTGAGCGATTGGAATGGTCGCCACGTTTTCTTTGACATTCGTCGCACTCCGGGGGCGTTCGGCCAATTAAGATTAATTTATACGGATTTATAATATCTTTGGCGGCAGCATTTGCCCGGCTAAAGCGCATTTATACTTGTACTTACGCTTTGTTTTGTTTTCTTTTTCACATATTTACAGAAACCCGAACTGGTGGCGCCGGCGCACAACTTTGGAGCGATGCCTTACCCTTTTCAGCATCCTTTTGGCCATAGCAACAATTGTTCTGGCCTTGGGTCTGGGCTATGCTCTGCTCCATGAAAAGGTGACCGATGGTGAGTGAAGCGATGTTATACTGGTACCTGTTTCTTTCTATTTCGATATCCTTTTGGAGCGAGTAATTGAAATGTTAAGAGTATAGTTTTGTCAGCCAGGATTGATAAGATCTGTTTCTTTCTGATTTTCCTACATCTTATAAGAAGTTCTCCAACAATTAAGACCACATAGCTTGAACATAAAACCGAGGTTATTCATTAAAAACATGAACAGTAAGGATTGCTCTTTTAACTATAAATTAGTAAAGATATCAATTTGAAAAATTTGTATGACTACATACAAATGTTCAAATATTATATGCATAAAAAATGTTTGTGTAACAAGCACTTCCCTCGCCTACAGCCTCCATTCACTGAAATATGTAGAACAAGTTAGGGCAATTTATTTTGAAGTAAATTAAACTTTATATTTATAGGATTAAAAAAAGTATAAGGAAAAATGAATATTGAAAAGAGAATATTAATAAATGAAAATACTAAAGATATTAATACAAATTTCAAAAAATATTTAAAAAATAGTTCCTTGAAATATTTCTCTTTATCAACAGAAGAACACAGCATAAGTACAGCAAAAATAGAGCGGCCTTATAGATGAAAAATGTACAATTACACTGAAAAGGCGCTCACAAAAACAATGAGACGAAGTAGATTTTTGGGAGATTACACAATGGGGGGCAAAAGATGGCAGCTGTAATTAGCGGCTTCAAATCTTAAAACTTTACATATTTTTAAAAAAGATGCATTTGAGGGAATGGTATTTGGGCTTTTGACCACTGACAATGACACTGGGAGAACATTAATTTTTTAGAAACATACTATAAATAAAAATGATATTAAATTATAGCTTTTATTTAACAGTTCAGTTATTACGCAAAGGGTTTCTATTGCTTTTAGTTCTACAAGTAGTGCTCTTCTTCAAGAGCACGTGTGGAGCAAAACAAATTATTATTATTATACAAGTATTATTCATATTATATTTTTTATATTTTTGGCCTATGGCATCGCCCAAAGTGAACCGTTTCATAGTCATTTGTTTATTTTATGTAAAGCTCAAAAACATTGAATTAACGAAAATAATTTCATAACTACTATTATTGAGAAGATTTGCAAGTGTCGAGTTTTATAAAGTCGTCATGATATATTAAAATGGGTCCCATCTCGTTAATAGCATTTTTTGAAAATCACCTTTCCATCCAGCTACCTCAGTAACGTTCGGTTATATTTTATAGAGCCTGCTCCGGCCAGTCCAAAACCATCAATGACGCCTGCCGAGGCTTTACATGGAGACAGCACGGTTTTAAACAAAGTGCCTGCAGCTGATGGAAAGTCATTGGCCGGGGGCAAGGGCGCTGCCGATGACGTGTGCTTCAGCAAGGAGTGCGTCCATACGGCCTCGAATGTGCTCAGCCGAATGAAGCCGGAGGTGGAGCCGTGCGATGACTTTTACGAATTTGCATGCGGCACTTATATGGAGGAGACAAACATTCCCGATGACAAGGTCTCGGTAAACACCTTCTCGGTTATATCGGACAAGTTGCAGGAACAATTGAAGGACATCATAACAGAGGAACGACCCATGACAGAGCCCAAGCACTTCCGTTTGCCCAACTCTCTGTACAAGGCCTGCATGAACAAAAGTAGGTGGATAGAACTGAAAATTCCAGCATATTGAACAACATAATGTATTTCTCACTTAATAAAGCGCTGATCGAGAGTCTGGGCACCGATCCTATCGTGAAGATTGCTGAGTCGCTTGGGGGCTGGCCATTGCTCAAGGGCGACAGCTGGAATGCCGACAACACCTGGACCTGGCAGGAGCAAGTCAAGAAATTCAGACGTTTGGGTTTCAGCATGGACTACATTATTGATTTCTCGATCGGCGTGGACTTTAAGAATAGCACCGTCCGCATTATAGACGTGAGTCTCACTGAGTTAATGATTTTTTTTTGCAGTTATAGCTTTAATTTCGATTCGCAGTTGGATCAATCCTCATTGGCCCTCAGCCGCGAATACTTAGTGAAGGGTTTCAACGAAACGTTGGTTAGCGCCTACTACGACTATATGGTGGACATAGCTGTTCTCTTTGGCGCGAATAAGGAGCAAGCCAAGAAGGAGTTGCTGGAGTCGCTGGAATTTGAAATCGCGCTCGCAAATGTAAGTATCCTTTTTAATCATGAGCAAGAGATTCAATTGCACCTCTGGGTTGGAAAGTTATTATAAGTTGTTCCAATCGTAACAATTAGAGATTGAAAAGATTTTAAAGCAGTATTTAATTGGAATCGAATGAGGAGTTAGAAACTCTTGAAAATATGGGCATGGTATTGTTTCTTATTTCCTAATACTGAGTTCACTGATGTGAAAAGGGCACAGCTCTCCTCAATTTCAAACCTTTGGCTCATACAGTGTAAATTGTTTAATCAAGGCCGAATTCGAAACTAGTCTTTTTTCCCTTGTTTAAAAATGTAGTGAATAATTGTTGTAAAAAAGATATATCGACGCGATTTGCAGGATCTATCGTTTATTGTTATTCATTTTTCGACTTTTAAATTTAACATGCTACACGTATATCACAATTCTAAAAAGGCGTTTGCAATTTTTAAAAATTCATTAGAAATATGGCCGCTTTGTATGCAAAAATAAGGAAGATAAGCAAACTGTTTTCCTTTCTTTGGAATTCTTTTTAAATTTTCTTAGTTGCAGGATTTATTTAATACCTGGGACTGTAATCATTATAAGAGTTATTAAAAAATTTTATTCATTCACTACAAATTTTATAATTATTTTTGAGTGTTATTTTAAATATTAACCAATAATTATAATCTTAAGGAAAAAAGTAAAACTTAGAAAATGATGATTATGCTTTGAGTATTATTTTTTTTATAAAAAATAAAACTCAACCTGTAATTTTAACTTTTTCCTAAGTATTAAGGACAAAACTTATATATACCCTTAATCAATGAGTCAAGGCGAACATTTTTTATTATTAATACTTTTTATACTCTGTACATGAAATGTACAAACCATGTATATTAGGTTTGCGGGAGCTTAAAAATGTAACAGACAGAAGGAGACGTGGCAGACCCCACAAAGTATATATATTCTTGATCAGCATGACGAGACGAGTCGATCTAGCCCTGTCTGTCTGTCCGTCCGTATGAACACCTGGATCTCAGAGACTATAAGAGATAGAGACACCAAATATTGCACAAAGATGCCTTCTGTGTGTATGCTGTGCAAGTTTGTTTTTATTTTTTTGATTTTCCCCCCACTTCCCCCCTATGGGGTTTTTCCCGATTTTCCATTCGTATAATCGCCTATATCTCGGAGACTATAAGACCTAGGAACACAAAATTTTAGTCTCAGATGCCTTATGTGAATACGCAGAAAATGTATATTTTGGAATTTCCCTCCCTCCCCTCTCTATCCCGCAAATCGTAACTCCCGTAATTCTTGGAATTTCGAACTAAAAATACCCCCAGTTGCTTATTATGTGTCCGTATGCCAAGTTTCACTATGATAGACCGATTTAACGAGAAGTTATAGCCATAAATATATTTGCTGCTGCAGCGCTGCTCAAGCGCTACCCGCGGCTGTTGTTGGTGTTGCTGTTTGGTTGACTGCTAACATGTTTACACAGACACGAATTGATGCGCATAGGCATTCATACACTCACACAGACGCAATTGCTATGTAAATGTGCAATTATAAACCCTTTACGTGAGTTCGAATAACGAAAGAGGTAAAATCGATCCAAATTTTTTTTCAAATTTTCTTATTTCATCAAATATGATATGTGAATTATGAAGAAAGATTACAATTATTTCCTGCACAAGTAACACTCAAAAATAATTATTAAATTGTTAGTGGATGAATAAAAATTAAGAAATATAAAGCATGGTGAAAATGGATAGACAATCTTTAAAAAAGGATATCTGTAAAGTCCCCGCTTTCTCAACGTTACTATAGGTGAATGATTTTTTCGTTTAAAAATAACAAAATAATCATTATTTACAGTCCCTGTTTAATACACATATTGAATTAAGTACAAGTATAGTAGACTTATAATTACACTGATAAATAACTTCCAATGCCTTATTTTTTAGATTTCGTGGCCCAATGAGAAGCGTCGCAATTCCTCAGAGCTTTACAACCTCCGATCCACACAGCAGCTTCAGCAATCCTATCCGTACGTCCAATGGGTAGACTATATTAATGCGCTGCTGCCCGAAGGCCTGCAGATTACCGAGGACGAGCCGATCAATCTGTCAGTGCCGAGCTTCTTCGACGACCTCGGCAAACTGTTGGCCAAAACACCGAGCCGTGTGATTGCCAACTACATGATGTGGCGCATCCACGCCTTCTCCGTGGGCTTCCTCACCGACGAGTTCCGGAAACGTCAGCTGCAATACGCCACAGCTTTGTCGGGAAGGCAGGAGCAGGAGGCACGTTGGAAGGAGTGTGTGGACATCGTCACTGGCAGGTTAGTAGAGAAATTAGAGGACTGCCACCCACTTGTGATATCCTGTGGTATCTAGTTATAAGTAGCGGACTTGGTTGACTCGGTTAGTAGTTAATGTTTAGTTTTGTTGTGACCACATTCCTGGATCTGTGCCAAGCAATGTCTTTAATATGCTTTTCGTTGTTTGTGTCTCTCCTTTGTTTATGTTTCACTTGTTTCTTTTTGATTTTTTGTGCTTTTGCAGCGAATATGATGAGCTCGAATACGAAGATAGGTATTTAGATCAAATTTCAAAATTCAATGTTTAACACGAGCACTTCCTTTGGTTTTGGGTATTATTCGAAATCGTCAATTCCTGGGCAGATACTTGTCCAAACCAATACTGCATACACGCACTCCCCCAACTGACACACATACCACATCAGCACTCACACATGGAAAGCCCTGGACATTGATTTATAAGCTGGAGGCTACATCGCCTTCTCTTTACCATCACAGTAGTTGTGTTTAGAATATATAATCGCAGATATTCATAGCGCATTTTATGTTTTAATTTTGTTTTATTTTACTTTCACAATCAAACAACTCGTCCCAACAATAACTGCTTCAACAACGACATCAATCATTATCAATCAAATCAACCGTCACATAAATGAATTTGAATCCAATAATTTTCATAAAAATATGCAATTTCTCACCATCAAATCAATCGGAAATCGATTTAACGAAATTAAAAAAAAAAAAAATATTGAATTTGACACTGAACTTCAATCAGCCTTGCCATATCCGTGGGCTCGCTGTATGTGCGCAAGCACTTCAATCAGGATTCCAAGGCCATCGCATTGGAGATGGTGAACAATATTCGCGGCGTCTTTAATGACATTCTGGACGAGGTCAACTGGATGGATGGCAAGACGAAGACGGAGGCAAAGGAGAAGCTTCACCGCATGGCCACTCACATTGGATATCCGGACGAGATGCTGGATAATGAGAAGCTTGCCAAATACTATGATAAGCTTGAAGTCAACCCTGACAAATACTTCGAATCCTTCCTGGGCATGAACGTCTTTGGCACCGATTATTCCTTCAACAAGTTGCGTCTCCCCGTGAACAAAACCGAATGGGTCCGTCATGCCCGACCAGCCATTGTGAATGCCTTCTACTCTTCGATAGAGAACAGTATCCGTAAGTTTCGAGTTTAGAGTAAAACCCTTTAAGTCGATTTTCAATTGTGAATGGTTTTCTTGCTGCAGAATTTCCGGCAGGCATATTGCAGGGACACTTCTTCAGCGCTCAGCGGCCCAAGTATATGAACTATGGCGCCATTGGGTATGTCATTGGACACGAGATAACCCACGGCTTCGATGATCAGGGCCGTCAATTTGATGTGAAGGGCAATTTGCGTGATTGGTGGCAGCCGGATACACAGAAGGCCTACTTGGAGAAGGCCAAATGCATTATCGAACAGTACGGCAACTATACGGATCGGGCGACTGGACTGAATGTAAGAGTTGTCGCAGCCCGTGTTCATATTCCCATAACTTCCTAATGTTTGTGTTTCGTCTGCACCCACAAAGCTAAATGGTATTAACACCCAAGGTGAGAATATTGCCGATAACGGAGGCGTAAAGGAATCCTACATTGCTTATCGGCGCTGGACTGAGAAGAATGGCTCAGAGCCGAAGCTGCCGGGTCTGGAATACACGCCCGAGCAAATGTTCTGGATCTCAGCTGGTCAGACATGGTGTGCCAAATATCGCAAAGGTAGTTGGAGAGATCCCATTAAAAATGTTTCCGAAATCCACATACAAGTAATCTTTCATTTATAATTCATAGAATCTTTGAAGATGCGCATCACCACTGGTGTGCACTCTCCCTCTCAGTTCCGGGTCCTGGGCTCGCTGAGTAATATGAAGGACTTTGCCAAGGACTTCCAGTGTCCCGACGGCTCACCCATGAATCCAGTTAAGAAGTGTGAGGTTTGGTAAGCCGCTAAGTCCGGCTTTTTGTGCTACCTGCATTCCCCCTCCACCGTTCTCACTCTCTCTCCCTGTTGTGTTTAAGTTTTAGTTGTAATTTAACAAACTTTTGCGTTAATTACTTAGTAAATGAGAACAAAAAATTAGTTTAAAAAAGAGAAACTCATAGAAGTGACCGATTCCCCAAAACTTAATGGCTGATAATGCCTCTGGAAAAGTTTGGCACAAGAACGATATTGGAATGGATATTTACATCAAGTATTAGGTACCTATATGTATGTATGTATGTGTATGTATGTTATTTACATTATGTATGTATATGTACTTGTGTAATTAGAAATGCAAGAATTTAAAGTAATTAATGCAATAAATATCTTTTTGTGAACTACCGTGATTTTTCTTGGGATCTGGGAACAACCGATTTTATAAGATTTGTTTGAGAAAAAATTGTACCGAACAACATTTTACTGTTATTCTAGCTCGATTTAAAATATTTAATAATATATATTTAAAAAACAGTCAAAATGAGGTTTTACAAATACTGGTTTATTACAATTAATTCGAATCTTTAGGCATATATTTTTTTTGGCTATGAGTTAGAAAATATACAGAATTATTTGTTGAGGAAGTTTATTTTTACGATTCCTCAAACACGTCCTTTATATCCTCGGCCTTTTCGCCAAGCATCCGATCTCCGAGGTTAGGTAAATCAACATCTTGTGCTGCGTCCTCGTAGCAGTCCGCCAATTCGTTGACTTTGAGTTCCAGCTCATTAACTTGGCGCTCCATTCCCTCCAAGGCTTTGTTGTGATAGGCTATGATGCTAGAAATCTAAGAATAAACAGTAATTATCTTCACATAGCAGCAGTGTTTAATAATCAGTTATAGTAAAATCATTAAAGTTATGGTTTACAAATTATGGTAGAGTATAAAAGTTTAGTGTGTGTGTGAAACGTATTCTTATAAGATAACATTTTATTATTGACTTACTAAATTATGTGGTATAACACGCGTTGCAACCTCTTCTTTATATACATCTATGTCATTTTTGAGATTATTGCACAATTCCGTAGAACTGTCTGCGGAGACGAGTAACTTTAAGATCTCCATATAACTACTGCGTTTAAGACTAATGCCTTCTTCGCCAAATTTCTCAAAGCATTCATCCATGCATCTAAGCGACCGTTCTGCATCAAGAATGGCACATTCATTCCTATGCATTTCCAGCTCCATATTCATTAGGCAAGTCTTCAGCAGGTTGACAAATTTATCAATGATAATCAGCTGTAAAAAAAAGTAATAGGTTAGGCGTTTAAGATCTTTCTAAAAAGATTATTTAAACCTTTAGTCTAGGTAAACTAGATTTGGATAATGTCGAACATTTCTAATAATGCCTGACAAATTTAAATTAATTTCGGAACCAAGCTTAAATTAAAAACATTTTTTGGTGTCTGATACCCTAAAGACCTTAAAAATCGGTCCATTGCTTTTCCGATGAGAATACAGATTTATTTTTCCTTTATATTATGATCTGTGCCCGATTATCTTCTTTCTTAAGCCGTTCAGGTTAATATCCGAATTTAGGCTTACATTTTGCTCGTTTTGCAGACAGTTTTGTTCTTGTTCCCGCACGAATTCCATTTTGTTGTGGAAATCAGCCTCCAGTTCTTGAGTGTCACGTAGCAACATGCTAGCCATCAAATCTACATATAAAAAGGTGGATGTTGGCTCTGATATGGCCGATTTACAGAATTTAGACATGATTTTTAAAGAATTTTGTTACAGTTTTTAGGAAATATATGTATCTGTATCCTGAAAAATGAATTTATTTTCAAGCATAACTTTGATTTTGTAACGTTCGCTCAACTGTTGCTCATCTGTTGAGTTCAACCGCTTGTCGAAGTGTTACCCAGCTGTGACTAAGTTGGGCGTTGCATGATGGCGATGTGCTACCCATCCTAAAAATAGATGGACAGTTCTTTTACGCAGTGCTGCCAATTGGTAAATACGCGCATCGTGGCTGCTAGAAACTTTTGCTAAAATTCTGTAGTTACTTGCAGATTTTGCACATAAAACAAGATGTCGGGCCTCAATTTGACCGTGCGTGTGCACCCTGTCGTGCTGTTCCAGGTGGTGGATGCCTACGAACGCCGTAACGCCGACTCCCATCGAGTCATCGGCACTCTCTTGGGTTCTGTAGATAAAGGCGTCGTCGAGGTTACAAATTGTTTTTGCGTGCCGCACAAGGAGCACGACGACCAAGTCGAGGCGGAGTTGAGCTATGCCCTGGACATGTACGACCTAAACCGCAAGGTTAATTCCAACGAGAGCGTGGTCGGCTGGTGGGCCACTGGCAACGATGTGACTAATCACAGCTCCGTCATACACGAATATTATGCGCGGGAGTGCAACAATCCGGTCCATCTGACTGTGGACACTTCGTTGCAGGGCGGTCGCATGGGTCTGCGCGCCTATGTTTGCATTCAGCTGGGGGTGCCTGGCGGCAAGAGCGGTTGCATGTTTACACCCATTCCTGTTGAGCTAACTAGCTACGAACCAGAGACATTCGGTCTGAAGCTGCTGCAGAAGACAGTAGGCGTGTCACCAGCCCATCGGCCCAAGACTGTACCACCGATGCTAGATTTGGCACAGATCTCTGAAGCATCGCAGAAGTTGCAGTCGCTGCTGGACCTTATATTGAAGTACGTGGAGGATGTGATCGCGCATAAGGTGACACCGGACAACGCTGTAGGACGCCAATTGCTCGACCTTATTCACTCCGTGCCACACATGACCCACGAGCAATTTACGCAGATGTTTAACGCCAATGTACGTGATCTCCTGATGGTCATCACACTTTCGCAATTGATTAAGACTCAGCTGCAACTGAACGAGAAACTTACTTTCCTGCCCACAGCTTAGGGTATTACCAGTACTGGTTTTTGTCAATATAAGAGCAAAGTTTATAAATCGTCTGTACGTTCTCTTAATGCATTTGTGTAATAAAGTGCTAATACTTGGATCAGAACTGTAGCTATTTTATTTATTTTCGGTGCAATATGATCAGAGATGGGATATTGTGTGACATTATAAATTGTTTTCATGGCGGGATGAGCTATATTTTCCCCCGTCTAATTTTAGCTAGCAAAACGTACCATTGCCGCATGGTTAAGTAGAATTTTCCATCATTTTAAACATCTATTTCTTAAATTGCTTCTCGAAATTTTTGTATAATTTCCATAATCCAAATATAAAGAAGCCCAAGTATTGGACTTAGACTTAACTTTCAAAAAGGAGTGCAAAGTAGGGATTCCCATGCGACAGGAATGGAAAGAGCTTCCGCACATGAGAGTCAATGCCAAAGGCTTTTTTAAAGCTTGATGGGAGCGTCGGCGGAGGGGTATACTCCGGGCCTAGGGATAAGACTCTCTACGCTCTCTCTTCCCTACCGGATCATCGTTGGGCTTATCAGGCAGAAGTTGTAGAAATACAAGAGGCCTAACACGATTCCTCAACAATTGTAGGTATAAGACCGATCTTTATTCAATCTGACAGCCAAGTATTGCTAAATGACCTTGTTTATAACATGGAAAATTCTGGATTCATTACTGACTGCCAGCAGGCCTGTACCTCATAGTGGTACCAGGACACTGAACATTACGGAAATTTGCATTGCAGCCGAACTGCCCATGGAGTAAGAGAGGCAGAGAATAGGACACCTACTCTGTTACTGACCAGCTCAAAGCACACTCAGGTCCTTTACCTTAGGGCAACTGTAATAAAAACATTTCTCGAAATGTGGTAAAGGCTACTTCGACCTAACTAAGATATATGACAGTTTTAACTAATCTAAATTACATGCTTAATTTGACTACCAAATCGGATCACTATGTCGTTTAGTTGCCATATAGATATACAGATTTTACATGCTGTCTAAAAGCAAAACTTTGGTATAAAAGGAATGGCGACCCGCTCCGAAGCAATCGATTTATTTAAGCGAATTAAATTTGATGCACACTAACAAATTGAAATATCCCGAAATGATCCCAATCGATAGATAGGGAATAATGATTTGAACTACAAAATTTGTAATAAAACAAATTGCCTGCATTTAAAAGACTTGTTCAGCATCATCAGAAATGAAATGCGATTTTGTTATTATTATTTTCAAATACTTTATTTGTAAACTAAATAAATTCAAGCTGCCTTTTTACAGAAAAACTCATGTACATATGTACGTATATATACCGATAGTTGTTAAAAACTGTTCTTTAAGTCAATATACGCATGAAATACATATCGGATTTATGCTTAATTACAATAAATAATGATAAGAAAATACAAATATTAAATACAATTGAAAGTTATACAAATAATAACAATTAGAGTTTAAATTGTTTGTTATATGCATACATATGTATGTAAGCGATTGTGTTGTATGTGTTGGGTGGTGTGTTGGTGTGGGTGTGTGTGTATGCGATTGTAGGTGTGTGTGTGTGTGTGTACTTTTTCAGATTAGGTACATGGGATACGTCGTATTCGTTTGGTTAGTGGGGATAGCAGATCGGGTGGGACAGAAGAGGCCAATATTTTTGTTGAGAAAACATTGAAGGTCCCCCCAAAAGTTTTTGAAATTGTATTGCAAACAGTGTTACGTGTTTTACGCTTAATAATTTACAATTTGTATGCGAATTCCAATACATGTGCGAAAGAGAATTGTTATACGAGTATATATTTCAAAAATTCAACAACATTCATAAAATTTGTCAGTTATCTCAAATGGTCTTATACTTTATCAACATACAATAGTTAATATATATTTTAATATATGCATATGCATCTTCAATTTGACTTGCTTAAGAGAGCTTGGCTTTGATATACGCTCGCATATACATATACATATAGTACGAGTATGTAGATATACATATGTATGTATTATTGCTGTAAAATGTTCAAATTTGAATCAAAACGCATTAAAAACACTTTAATATTAGCAAAAAGTTGTACATTATAAAAACTTGACCTTGGTAATGGTATCGTAATTAACATTAAGCTGAAACGTTCGTATTGACTTTTTGTTTGTTGGTTGGTTTGTAATTAGCTTTAACATTTAATTGAACACACCTAGATACGTACATACATACATATACGTAGTACATAGTAGCTTTATGTACGACGTAGTAGTAGTAGTGGTAGTGGCTACAACAACAATAATCAAAGTTACGCCGCGTAATAACAACAATAACTAGCTATCGCCAGCTCAGACGCAACTAAACTTAATGCCGTCGTCACTCGAATAGCAGTTCTGGCAATGCAGCTTGTGGTTCCGCACCCGCACGTCCGTCCCATTCAGTCCATCGCCCAGTTGCACGTGGCAGACGCAGCACTTGAAGCAGTTAATGTGGTAGAAGAGCAGCAGCGACTCAATTATCATGGCAGCGCCGCGACCTGCTTTCAAATATCAAAACCAAAAATCAAGATTAGCAATAGTTTCGGATAAATTACGGATAATCTTTGCAATTTTATAAATAAGACTAACAGAATTAGAGAGCATCCAATGGCATAAGTACTACTGTTTAAAACAAACATTATATATAAGTAGTTGTAACAAACATGGTGCTTTAGAATACACCTAATTCGGTTTCTTCGGGTCTTCTTTACACGATTTTGATATAACACGGTTTGAAAATTAAAAATTTCATACATTTTTCTTTAGAGATAGGAACCAATCACCTATTTTGGCATATTATTTATGTCTTTTTATACACGGTTGTTTCTGGAACCAATCTACCGTGTAAAAACAGAATTATGTGTATTAACTTCCAGACGGATTTCCTACAGTTAATGCCATCGAATTTCAATCTTAAATCGAACTATTTATATATTTACATATATCCTTAATGCCTCACTTGTTTAAGATGTGTTTGTGATGTTAGAAAAAAAAAACAGCCGAAAAGTATGCTTTATTTTTATAGAAAGTGCAGTATTGGATTCCAATTAGAATCTATAAGCGCTCATCATTTTAAACAGTCAACGTGTATTTCAATGAAGACTATCATTTATTGAACAATGTTTACTTTTCGGAAAATTGTGGAATTCTAAAACCCTTTTAAGATAAAGAGATTTAATTTAAAATAGCATAAATGTGCTTGATACATTTTAGACACAGAGTAAAAGTAGATTTTTAAATATTTAAAGTGGCAGTAAGCCGACAAAAAATTTTTAAAAATCGCAGAGAAATGGGTAGTCGAGAAGACGATTTTGGGTCGAATCCGCATTCGAATGGGGATCTTTTTTCTCGGTCAACTTAAGATTATTTTAGCAAAAAAAAGAAGCTAAAATTATTTCAATAGAAGAAATAATAAAAATAATGGAGGATATAAGAATAATTAAAGCTATATAACCGATTTCAAATACATTCAATATAAAAGTTCATTTAAGAAGAAATTTGATTTTCTTCACATTTATTTTAAAATGCTTTCCTGATTTTTGCATTCGTTTTGAAAACGATGGCTTTTTCATTTTAAACTCGATAGTTCTTGGGTCGAGGGCACAATAGTTACACAAATCATATAAATACTTATGCCATACAGTCTAAAAAAACAAGACATCACTAGATAGTACCTTTAAGTGGCATCTGTAAAATGCAGCTATTGAATTTTATAAAATATTTCAAGTCTTTTGGCATAGTTGTATACAGGCTTGAGGTTCAGACCCAAACAATATATTTGAGCGCTTTGTGCACGTGCCGACAATTGTCGTGGGTGCAGCCTAAATCTGTGTCAGACATGTAAAAGATTCGACAGAGAGAAGTGCATTAAGGAGCTGAGATTAGCAGTTCTCCAGCTTCAAAGCTACATACATGATTTTCAAATACAAACACAATCGAACTAATGCTAAACGAAACATGGTTTGACTCAACAAATGAATTGAAAAATGTATATAGAATGTACGATCTGTATCGAGATGTGTTTAGATCGTACAGAGTCCGCTTTATAGAAGTTCGATTGTGCATAGTTGAGCAATAAAATGTTTTATGTGTGTGTGTGTGTGTGTGTGTGATTGTGACTGACTGATTGATTGTCGCTGCCAAGCACTAAGAATGGGCAACTGTTCATGATCAAAATCAGAATACATAGTAAACAAATCACACTCACAACCAACGTAGTAGCAAAGTTTACCTAATTCGTCGCCACAATGAGAGCATTTCTTCTTTCCGCTAACACTCAGCACCTTCTCCTGGCTGCCATTGGTATTGGCATTGCTATTAATGTTGTTGCTGTTGGATGACTTCAGAGACTGCTGCGATTGTGAATGCTGCGCAAAGCCATTGCCATTGATCACTTGACTATAATTGCCGTTCTCGAAGCTGAAACAAATAAAAGCAGATAAATTATATATTATAAATACTTAAATAAGTGCTTTATAGAAGGAGTTCTTTAGTTCCCGTGTAGCAAATACTTGCAAATTGATTGTCGTGCTATAACACTTGCTTTAATTGCATCTGATTGACTGGAAATTTGTTGTAAAAAAACATCAACAATTGAAAAAAAGAGAGGCTGCTAGTGTTCAAAATGAACTGCTTGTTCATATCAAGTTACCACTGCTTGAGACTATTCTTCCTCTGCTTGCATTTCTGCTTGATTGTACACCTAATTCTGTTTTTACACGGTCCTCTTTTAAACGGGTTTGAATTAAAATGGTTTGAATATTAAAAAAACTTTATATATAGTTACATGACATTATTCTATTTAGCACTATTTAAAATAACAATCATGTCAATGTCAATCAGTCAATGTCTTTTTTACACGGTTTTTCTTATACACCTTTTTCTGGAACCAATCTACCGTGTAAAAACAGAATTAGGTGTATTTCTTTTGATGTCTATACTAATTAATATCTATTATTTTAATTTTCAACATTAGATATTTGACAAACACCTCAGATAAGATGTTTTGGCACCTAAACGCGTATTTGTGGTTTTCAAGATTTTAAGTAGATTGAACATATTGAATATTAACTTAGGAAGTATACACCTAATCCTGTTTTTACGCGCTCTTTTTTAGACGGTTTGAAAACTAAAAGTTGCATATATATTTCTTTAGAGATAAGGAACCAATCACCTATTTTTGCATAAAATCAATAGAACCAATGTAAAAACAGAATTAGGTGTACTCTACTTTTCTTTATAAAATACCCTTAATATAATGCGAGTAGGGTCAAATACAAAAACCTGTTTTACTAAAGATCAGATAAGAATATATTAAATTTGCAAGTCCTTCTTTATATTACAACTTTTTAAAAGCCCTATGAAATGTTATCTGTTAAGAAATGTATTTTATACTTGGGTTTTCAGTCAGCAGCGAGCGGCTTATTAAAAGATTGTCACTTCAACAAAAAATGTTGAATATGGAGAAGAGTCTAAAAATCTTCTTTAACATTTTCTGCACTAATAGGACCTATCTACTATAGGGCCTGAAAAAAGATATGTTTCTTGAAGAACTCTATTCTTATAATTTAATAATTGTCCTCCTTAGAACAGATCTTAAATAAAGAATAAAGATTTAACAAAATAACTCTATTCTGCCAGAGAAAACTAGTTTCTGAATTTCTTTTCACAGACTACTTGAAAATTAACAAAACAAATAGCTTTACAGTACCCTAACAAGCATTCAAATTATATGTAGAAGCCCAAAAAATAGAATGCAGATTTTGATGATTGAAAAGCTGCGGACACCCACCGTTTGCGTTCCCCAATGCCCTTGCTTTGGACGCGCTCAGTCAGGGTTTGTATAATGGAGTCGGGCAGGGGCTTGCCATTGGATTTGCCATTTGTTGTGGGCATGGAGCGTCTGCTGTGCTGCTGTTGTTGTTGTTGCTGTTGCTGTTCCAGCAGACGTCGCTGCTCGGCCTCCTGGACAAGCCAATGATTGCTGCCAGCATTGTTGTATGCCTGTCCGTTGTAGTCGGGCATGGACTTGCGCTTCTGCTGATAGGCTGAGAGCCAGGCCGGATCGTTGGCCAAATTGGTGTCAAAGTTTTTCCGCTGCTGCACCTGCACCCAACCATCCGTGTACTTGGGCTTGGGCGTGGCACTCAACGCGTGCAGCGTATTGCGGGACATGTTCCCCTCCCGGGGAGCAGCTGTTGGTGCAGCCGCGGACAACTGACTCAGGTTCTGTGCCGACTGGTGATGATAAATGTAGTTGTTGGCGGGGGCACGGGGTGTGGCGGCCAATGGGGCGCCGGCAATCTTGACAAGGGAGCCGCCGTAGACGGCGGTGGCGGCGACGTTGCTCTGTGCGGCGGTCAGCGAGTGGCGCTGTCGGGCACTGGCGTAGTCTGGCTCCAGGATGCCAACACCACCATTGCCGTTGGTGGCTATGTGCATGGCACGCAGCGGTTTGGTGGGCGGCGTGGGTGGCGGCAACATGAGCCGCTTGGAGAACTCGTTCAAGTCCGACATGGACTTGCGATAGTCGGACTCCACATGCTGGTAGTATTGCTGTTGCTGGTGCTGCTGCAGATGCGCCACATTCGCATAGATCTGCTGTTGCTGCTGCTGCTGGTATTGCAGTAAGACCGCTTGGGGCGGCTGGAAGGCGCTCAGCATGCCGTTGCCGATGATGCCGTTGTGCAGATCCTGCAGCGAGCGCCGATTGTTGGACATCAGCATCTTGGCGCCATGTTGCAGCTCCCGCCGCGCCAAGTTCTCGCGCAGCAGCAAGTTCTCGCGCTGACGCTTCAGCTCCTCCTGCTGTAAGTAATGCTTGGGATTAGATCGCTTGATGACCAGACGGACCAGGTGTCCAGATGCCCACAACACTTACCGAAAAGTGAAGCAACTCGCGCTCCACCCGCAACACCTCGCCCTGCTCGCGAATTTTCTCCTCGATGGACAGCATCTTGGCATTCGCCGTAGCCGTGGCCTCGGTTAGGGATTGTGTGGCCGCTGCGGCTGCTGTGGCCGACTCTGTCCAGGACTCGGCCGAGTTGCCCTTCACGGTCTGGAGGAGGGGCGTCTGTGCCGCCGTCGCCACACTCAGCAGTGCCTGCTCATTCTGGTAGATCACCTCTTTGTTGCTGGGCTTGAGACTGTGCGGTGGTGGTGGCGGCGTGTCCGAATGCGTGTCATTCTCCTCCGAGGAGTTCGTGTAGTGCTCGCTACTCTGACGCGAGTGGTTCTCCGAGACGCCAGAGTCTCGACTTTCACCTGACAAAGCAAAAATAATGAGTGTGTGAATGATTGGGTTTGGTTGATTGGGTTTGGGTGATTGGGAACTACAAGTGGATCAGCACATATCGATTTTCTTTAAATAAACTTCTTAAAAGACGTGTCCACAGTAATACGTTTTCTATCCAAAACCGAATCTTAATGCACATTGTGTTATTTTCTATCCCATTACTTAGTTGAGATGGAGTTTCATCTGAAAAACGAATCACAATGGGTGCGTATTTGTTTTATATTCTCCTTATATCGTCTAATTGCAATTGTAATTTCTACAAGTAGTTTGCTTTCAGTACTTAGATTCCCATATGATGTAAGGTGAACTAAAATTACACTTAATTTGTGTTTATTTTCCTGTTTTTGTTTTTTAAGTAACCAACCACATATGCTGCGAATAGTTTCGAGGATTGCTTTTAACTTCCGATCTTCTTCCCTGGTTAAGGTCTTTTAGTTTTTTAAAACCTAATGAGTTCTGCTTTCATTTAAAAGTTGTTTTTTATCGCGCGACTCCTATTTTTCTATTTAATTTATTTTAAATTTTTTATGTAATGTAATCCGATTAAAACCTTTAAAGTCCCAAGATGTACAAAAATGGTTTGATTGATTTTCTTTTTGTATTAACGATTAAATTTTTATTTGGCAGGCTCGACGAGTCATTTTTAAATTTATTCAAAGTGTTTAATTAATGTTGTCAGCTCAGTCAGTTGTTGCTTTTCATCGTCTACTTATTAGTTTTAATAGAAATGAATTTAGCTGTTATTCAAATTGTTTTGCGAATTCTATAAGATTTGAAAGCCGTACCCAGATCGCTCATCTCCTCTGAGTGTCTAGTTGTAACTAACACCCCTCACACTTTCGGTCTGCGGAGACACACACTAATCGGATTATTTATACTTAACCTCGCGGGCAGCCCCTAGTCGCAGAAACCCTCTGAGCATGCCTGGTAAACGTCACAGTGATTTGCCCATTTGCTTTTATGGCAGTTCATTTTCAAGCTCTATTGATTCTTTTTTTCTTTGCATTTGCACCCTAAATGACTGTACACCTGTCTGTTTTGGAAAATATAAGAGAGTCCTTTAATTTGTAGGTGTAAAAACAGGTTGTAGAATTTCCATATCTGATGCGATTGATTGACTGATTGATCAAAAATAAAAATAAAATAAAAAAAATACCATCATATGTTAAAAATGTGTCTAGTAGTACACATAGTAGTATAGTATGTCCTAGGTTATTATTATTCCAGAGTCAATCTATTTTATTTTGTTTTTTCTTTTTGAAAAATTCTCATTGGAAATAAACGTAATCAACAGGATTGCTTGCCTGCTATTGCAGTGCAGGAAGCAGCTTTGTTGAAGAGTATGTTGAACCGTTAAAAGTGGGTCTAGTAGTATAGTATTATTAATCGAAAGAATGTAGTATCACCTTGGTTATTAATATTCCAGTGTCTACCTATTTTTATTTGTTTTTTTTTTTCTCTGATAAATTCGGACTGGAAATAAACGTAATCAACAGGCAAGCAGTGCTATTGCAGTGCAGGAAGCAGCTTTTGCTGTTATTTTTGAATGCTAGAGATACGAATTTTTTAAAAGTTTTTCTTTTAACTTTACTAACCTGTATCTGAACTATCGCATAGACCCGCTTTGATGTACAATTGCTTCTCCAGACGACGCTCCTCCTGCAGCAGCTGGGCCATGTCCGGCGGTGGTGCCACTGTTAACTCCAAATAGCTCTCCACATCATCCAGATCGCCGCCCGTTTCGATGCCCAAGAAACTGGAGCGCTTGTTCCGCAACTCCTTCTTGATGCGCTTCGTAGAGTTCATGCGCTTGATGGGCGGCGATGGCTGGGGCGGCACTTCGCTCAGCTGTTGGCGGCGCGTGCTCCCCGCAATCGTCTCGTAGGTGTTGTCCGATGACCAGGTGTCCATGTTGCCACCACCATCCAGTTCGTCCTCCGCTGTGGCTGGAGGCACGGGCGGTGGACTCTCGGTGGGCGGTGGTGGTGGTTTTTCTTTGGGCGGTTCCATGGCATTGCTGATGCTGCTACCGTTTGTTGTGATCCCATTGTGGCCGTTGGCCAGCTGGGCCGCATCCAGACCAGTGTAGAAGATTTCGATGTTCTCGTAGACGGGTATGGGTCGCAAATGTTTTGGGGCATCATAGTAGGGCTCCAGGGCTTTGGGCACTTGATAGTAGGGTTCGGCGTCGTTGCCTGTTGTTGTTGTTGTTGCTGTTGATGCCGCACTTAAAGCTGTTGTTGTTGTTGTTATTGTTACCACGTGTTTGTCTGTTTGATTATTGCAGTTGTTGTTGCTGTTTGTTTGATTAATAATTTGATTATGCATATCATTATTGTTATTGTTGCTGTTGCTGTTGTTGTTGTTCTTATTTGGAATGCTTCTTCTTCGTCTATTGGCTATCATCGCTGGCGGCTGTTCATTATCTACTTCGTGCATAGATATAGTCGAGCTAATGTTCTCATAGATGGGTTCCATTGCTGTTGCATTTGTTTGTTCTGCCGCATGTTGCTGCTGCGGCTCTTCCTTCTCTTTCTCCGCCTCCTCCTCTCCTTTCTGTTGCAGCTTCTTCTTCTCCTCATCGGTTTTATTTGGCATTGCATCAACAATTTCGTCATCTGGGTTCTTTTGTTTTTGATTCTGCTCCTTCACATTCCCCCCCTCCTCCTCCTCCTCCTCCTGCTCCTGCTCCTGCTTCTCCACCATCTTCTCCTGCTCTCCCTGTTGCTTCTCTACCTTCTCCATCTTGTGCTTAGTTGCAACGCTTCGTTGCGCCTCCCTATCGATAGCTTCCAGCGCCAGTTCAAGAGCTTCGTTGATCTGTGGAATCATGCGAGTGAGCGAGCGAGCGAGCCAGCGAGAAAAGCGTCAAGCGAAAAAGAGACAAAAAAAGAATGCGTCACAGGCGCATGAGTTTTAATTAAGTTAGTTTACATAGCCGCTTGATTGCAAAAAAAGGGTGATAAAAGGTTGTAAGGTAAACAAAGTTGATAAGTAAATAACAACAGCAACAACAAATAAAACAGTTTTAACTAAAACTCAATCAATCTCAATAAAAAGCAACAAACACAATGTCGAACCTTTTGTAATTAGAATTTTGCATTTATAACAGGGGTATGATGTGTAACCATGTAGGTACATACAAGTATATAGGTTTCTACTGTACAGATAAGTATGTATATATTTACAAAAGACAAGTCGCTTGATACACATATGTACATATAAAGCTAGCATGGAAATAAATGGCGCATGTATTTGTACAAGTACTACAACTTTCAAGTGCTAATTGCACTCTTCAATTCCTATCAAGTGTTCCGCTTTGCCATAAAAAAGCTGTTGATAGCTTAACCCACATGTGTACATGTATGTATGTATCTTTGTACTAGCTACCCATGTACGTATGTGTGTATGTAAGTGGTATGTAATAAGTACTTGGTAAGGAATTAAGTCGTTAGTCGGCACTAAAACCATTCTCTCAACCGATTTTCTCCAAAGAGTTGTGTCATTTCTTTTATCAATATTTTCGAATTGAAAGCTACAAAGTCTAATTGAAGGATCGTAGTAATATAAACTAAAATATGGCAGCTTTATGATATACACCTAATTCTGTTTTTACACGGTCTTTCTTTACACGATTTTGATATAACACGGTTTGAAAATTAAAAATTTCATATATATTTCTATTTTTGCATACAGGTATATTATTTTTTGATCATATTCTTTTTTACAAGGTTGTTTCTGGAATCAATTTACCGTGTAAAAACAGAATTAGGTGTAGTTCATCAATTAAATAAAAGCTTTTGACTATGAAGCTGAAGCGGCACTATAAGAAACAAATCTGCTTCCGAAATAACCAGAAAAGTTATGTATTGGTAAAACGATTGATTTCTGCACAGATCGTTCCAGAGCAGTTATATGTAATATTGCGTCGATTTTAATGAATCCCTGAAAATCCTGGGGCACTCATACATACCAGATTTGCATTTCACAAAAGAGCTTATTCTTTTAACAATACTATTTGCATCGATCGTTCCTATGGCTTTAAATTATTTTGTAATACACTTGCTCTGTCTCTCAGATAGAAAAATGTGAAGTCCATAGCTGTTATGGTCCAAAAGTTCTCGGTGCTAGGTTTATATAATGTTCATAGATATCAAATATGTGGATAGCTTGGGTTGAAGACTATTTATAAAAAGTATTTAATAGCATTTAGTGAACGTTAGATTGCTAGATATTCACTGAGGTCACATTTTCTTTGAAGAAAAACTGAAACTGAACAAAGTTTACGATAAATCTAGTTGTACGATATTTTGAACAGGCTTTAGTCTCGTTTAAATTCATTCACCTATTTAATTATTTTTTCCCTATTTCTAGCTTTGTGGAGGATTTGTAGCTATATTTAATAATTAATACGAAATAAGACTTGCATTCACAACCATAACCACAACTGTACGTTTTCTTCGAATTATATTTGCATTCCGAACGTTTTTCTGGGAACTCAAGTACCTTCACCTTGTTTTTATTGGTTTTTAAGTGGGCAAGAAATCAATGAATGGCCCACAACTTGACTCAAAATAAAAATAGCATACAAGTCGATTGGAATGATCTGTTCAGATCACAGATATATTTATGTGTCCCTTCACTACGAGTACGTTTTAGGCCTCGATTTCCGCGACTGATCTGCACGAGCGAGCTCTTACCACTGCTTTTCGATCGACGCAATCTAATGAATGGCTTCGCTGTATTCTGGGTTCTGTATTCGATATTTCCCGTCGCGTATTTATTTATTTTTGATTACTATTGTCATAAAGATAAACACCCGTGAAGGCGCAAATGTTGGCAAATACATATACTTGTATGTATGTATGTATGTATGCAGATATGGATGTTTGCACTTGTGTGGAATGCGAGCGCAACGTTAACTAAACAGTTGATGGCCCAAAGGCGACTAAGCGCAACTATGGCACAGGGGAGCATTGGAAGCGGTCGTTTAGATAAAGCGACTATACGACGAAAATTGAACAAAAGGGATGGACTGATAGCAATGCGGGTGTGTTAACAGCGCCTAGATGTATGCAACGCACTGTTGAACTAAAGAAGCCTAGAAATGTGTGGTCTGTGACTTTTGGCTTCTTAAATAGGCGCTAAGATACTAAGCATGCATGAGGGAACTTAAAATGTAAATACAAAACGGAATTCACAATACATAAACGCAAGTAGATAGACAAATATGTACTACAGAACAGAACAGAAAATGGAGAGAGTGAGAGACAACCGCTTACCTCGGAAATTGTAAACTTGCAATAATTTTTGCTGGCAGTAAGCATGTAAGCTATGTAACTGCATTAAATTTAAATGGTATGGTTTAATATTTGTACATTTTAGCCAGCATTATATAGTAAAGTGCACAGCGAGCGCGCAAGGCATGTAAAGAGATATGCACACGATTTTATGATCATGGGTTTTAGATATTGGTATAAACAGAGATACAAGAGAACACAATTTACGCTTACGATTAAATGTTAGTGTCTTAATAGTTGAAGTCTGGTTTCACTTACTTACGCTAAAGATATGGGCAGCAAAATTGTTGTAGCACATACATACATAGATCAGAAACAATAAGAGTAGAGTATAGAACAGACACCAACGACGCGTCGCGACGACGGGCAGCAGCACAGCAATGTTAAATAGAAATGTAAACTTAACAGCGACAGTTGTTTGCAGCGCACACTGCATGGCGTACCGGTAGCTCAAGCAGTCGCCCGCCAAGCAGTGCTTAATTCAAACATTTGAAATGGATTTGTTGTGCGAGTACTCGTATGGTTTTTCTTTTTTCTCTTTTCGATGATAAAATGAACTTTTTCTTTGATTTTCTTTTCTGTTGCCAATGGAACATGTTCGTTTTATGTATAGACAAAACACAGCACAACAATATTTATTCCTTTTTCCTTTCGGTTTTTTATTATTTGGTATGCTTTTTGAGGTGTAATTGTGTAGTAAAATTCTTTGTTCGTTCTTTTTTTACTCATTTATAAAAATAAACATAAGCATATTTTTGACATTTTTTACATAAATAAATTGTTCGATTTTATACATAAAAAGTTGGGTTTTAGTAATTGTTGAACAAAAAAAAAAATAAAATCATACGAAAACTGTAGCTTACGTAGCTTGAGCCCACAACAAAATGTAAAACGAAATAATAGAAAACGCTTTTAAATGATAACGAAATCATTTTAAAATTAAATTCGAAGTTTTTAAGCCTGCTGCACCTTGTATTTGTAATTCTTTTTTTTAAAGTATCATTCTCGGAAGTACTATAGTACTATGAGAAACTGAGTTGAGTTGAGTTCATTTATTCGAGTTTAAGACTTTCGAGGTTCTTGTCATGCTTCTTTATTTCTTTCTTTTTCAAAATATCAAAACTGTAACTCTCCAAAATCCACCATTTTTCGAATCCACTTTCATTGCGAATTATTTAGTAAAGCAGTTCGTCCAATCAATTATAGTATGCATATCTGATTGGGATCTTTTAGATCCTGAGTTCGCCATTGATGTTCCATTTACTTGGTGCCTGCACCATGCATGCCAACACCACGATCACCTCCTCCCACCTCCAGTTTATTGATCTCATCATCGAGCATATCGTTAATCTCTTGCGTCAATTCCGTCTCCGTGGCATTCTCCTCTACTATCTCATCCGTTGTTATGGTCTTTCGTATTTCAATGTTTACGGGTGCGGGTGTTTTGGGTAACGGAGGTGGTTCTTCGCTGGGTACATAGAATTTGGAATTATCCACCTTGACAAACTCGTCCGGATTGACGACATCGACGCCGCTACGTGTGCTCGTTAGGACCACAGTGGGCGCAATAGTTTCGTTCAGTGTAGTGGTTGCATTGGGCTCTTCATGATGTCCGAAATTGCGGCGCAAGAAATCGAATATATTTTTCGTCTTCTTCTCCTTCGTTGGAGGAGTTGGACTTTGTGTTTCCGCCGGTTTCGGTGAGCTGGGCGGAGTGGTGGTGGTCACCTTGATTTGCGTCTCCACCACGTGCGTGCGCGCAATCAGTAGATTGTCATCTTTGGGCGTTGGCGGAGCTTCTTTCTCAGCTGGCGCATAGCCGACACGTTGAATGGAGTCTGTGCCAGAGGACGAGATACAACAGGGTTTGGGTATTGGTATTTTTGATTTTCGCGCCAGTAGCGGCGTCGAGGTCTTCGGAGTATCCGGAAGCGATGCATTCATCATTTGACTGCTGGCCAAACGTTCCTCAGCAATGATTTGCTCGCACGTATCGATCAACGCCTTCGAATGCGCAGCGCGTGCCACCATGATGGGAGAGCTGGGGGTCTTATTCTTAGAGGGGGCAGCAGCTCCCAGATTATCGCAACGTTTCACATCGGCTTCGCTTATGTCCTGAAAGCCTGTAGCTGGTGCTGGCATTTTGTGCACATCGATGGATTCACATAGAGGCTCCTCAACCGTGCGTTGACGCTGAGGTAGACACGACGGCCGCTTGGCCGTTGCACACGTTGCCAGACTATCAAGAAATCCGGTGCAGAGCGCAATATCTGCTTCGGAGGGTACGATTTCTGGTTCCACCTGCTTGGGCGCCGCCTCATATCCGTCGCAGCGTCGTACCTCAGCCATTGAGACATCCTGAAAGCCCGTACAGGGCAGCGGTTCCTTATGCACATCGACTTTATCACAGGGCAGCTCCTCGATGGTTTGTTGTCGCATGTAAACGCTGTCCTCAGGGGATATGGCTAGTCCCGTGGGTGCCTGACTGCTGAGAAATTGCTGACAGAGCGCTACCTCGGCTTCCAGAGCACGTGGCGATACGGGAGAACTGGGCGCGGAGGTAGCCAGCTTAAAGAGACTGGACTCGTTTGGGGCGCATGAAGGTAGAGCGGGCATATCAGATCGTCGCGTCACCTGCGGTTTCATTGAATCATTTGGAGCCAAGGGGTCGCTGTTAGGTGCTTTCGTCACTGGTTTGGAGCGGGTTAACGGCTTAGGTGGTACCGCAATAGCATTGCTGGGTGGAGAGTGCACAATCGCCTTCGTTTGGCCAACCACTGGCGCATAGTCCCCAGAGCAGCTCGAAATGATCGAGCTGTGCTGACGCGCTGGCTCCTGATCGCTTCCCCAATGGCGAAGCTCCACATGCACTGCATTATCGGTGACATCTTGTGTTGGCGTTGGCACACTTTGCCGCTTCGCCGGCGTTGGTGATTGCGGCGGTGTTATTTGCGGTATGCGACTGCGTGGCAATGGCTTGGGCAGTGGCTGCGGTGGTGCCTCCGCCTTGACAAAGCAGCTGGAAAGTGCCTTAACCGTATTGGGTTTCGGCAACTCATCGGGATTGACAATGGTAACGGGTGGCGCGCAAACGACAACTTCAGCATTGCCTTCAGTGGTACGCAGTGGTTCATTGACTGTCAACGCTTCGCTGCCTGCCTGCAATGCGGTTGCTGGCTGCTGTAAATTGATCTGCTCTTTGGCTGTGGATAATTGTGTCAATGCGGCATGCTGAGTCCGCTTTGGCGGCAACGTTGGCGTTGGTGGTTTCTCCATCTGTCGCGAATTGAAGATCTCGACACGACCATTGATGCTAAATTGCTGAGCTGCAGCACTGGGCGGTGAACTTTGGGGAGCAGCCACCGACACTGCTTTGGGATTGTAGCGCAGGGCCTTGGGTGACATGGGTGGTTTGCCTATGGGATTGCCCACAGCAATAGCGCGTGGTATTTGTGTAGGTGGTGCAGCATTGGGACCTTGGGGACTGGTTGTGGTGGTGGTGGTGGTGGTGCTGCTGCGCGTAATATGAGGGTGCTGGCCCACAGTGGGAGAATTAGGTGGTGTTGGTTTGCTTGGCTTGGTAAAGTCAAAGATTTGGGTCACCACGGTGCCTGTTGAGGCGGGTGTGCCACTTATAGGTGCTGGAGTGGCACCACTGGGGGGAGCGGGGCTAGTGATAACGGGTGCTGCAATCTCATTTTCAGCCGCCTCGTCCAGTTCAATGTCATTCTGAAATGTCTCCTTGAACATTTTGAGCAAATTACGCGCATGAACCATTTCGTTGGAGGGCTTTCTACGCAAATTACAGTTGGCGTTGGAAGAAGGGGAAGAAGTGGATTGGGAAGGATTGCCCGACACCGAAACTACATCGCCAATGGCGGAAGCTACTACAACATTGCCACTAACTGTAACCGCTTCTTTGGGACTATTTATAGTGGGTTCGATTTGTTCGTTTTGTATAAAATTGTTAGTAGAACTTACACTAAATTCCATATCCCGCGGCTGCGGTTGCGGCTGCTGCTGTTGCGACTGCTGCGGCGCTGGCTGTGATTGCGCTGGCGGTGGCGGCAGTTGGGGCTTGTTGATCGGCGCAGTCGTCAGTGGGGCCGGATTTAGGTCCGTCAGTTCAGCAAACTCCTGCTCAATTTGATTGACCGCATTGGCTGCCTCCTCCAGCTGACGTTCCTCCAGCGCTAGAGCTGCTATGGCCGCATTCAACTGCTGCTCCTGTTCTTTTTGCAGCAGCATATCCTCGTTGTCTGCCTGGATGCCGCTGTCATCGTTAGTTCCACTTGATGCCGGCGGTACCGGAGGCTCCTCCACAATGAGCGCAGGTGGCGGGGGTGCTGGTGCGCTCAGTTTTTGCTGTTGTCGCATGCGCTCTTCCTCGCCACGCATTATCTCCAGCTGACGCGCATCAATGAGCGCCACCAGCGGTGGTTTCTTCTGCTGCTCCTCTTTGGTAACGGCATTTTGTAGACTGGACAAGCGCTGTTTAAGGGGCGGAACGGGAACATCGACACTCTTGCTGGCATTGAACGCATTGCGCTGCTGCTCCAGGCTCTGCATGCGATCGCGTATGCTGGTAAGATCGCCCGAAAGGCGCTTCACCTCCTTCTTGGCAGCGGGCTCTGGCATCGCGACTGCATTGCCATTGGTCAGTGGCACAGCTGGGGCATTGAATCGGTCACGAAGTACCACCTTGGGTGGCAGGCCATTGCTGTTCTTCGGCTCACCCTGTTCGCGTTGCTCAAAAATCTCCTTGCGCTTGGAAATGTCCACCTTGGGCACATCGACTTTTTGCTTCTCAACACCCTCCTGTGTATCACTCGGAGAGGTCACCTCAAAGCCGCTCAAGCGATCCTCAATTTTGCTGCCACGTCGTGTGGGATACGCAATCTCTGAGTGCTCGCCATTGCTATTAGTTGTCTTCATGTTATTGTTCGCAGCTGGCGGCTTATTGACACTGTTGCTAGCGCGTTGGACGCGCTGCTTATAGTCCTGTATGGCGCCCTCGTACGTGTACTCACAGGGATCGGGTGAGCTGGCGGGCGCGGTGCTGGATGAGGTGTCATAGCCCGGTGATGATATGTACTCGCGCATGGCAGCAGCATTGGCCCCCTTGGAGGTGGACGATGTTGTGGGCTTATTGTTGCTATTGATATGATTCTGTTGCTCCTCAATGCTGGCAGCGCCACCATTAGCGCCAATCGCTTTGTCCAGCTCGGCAGCATGGTCGCTCTGTTTTTGAATGGGGCGAGTAAATGGAAGAAAGAAAGAGATTAGGAATTTGAAAAATATATAAAAAATATAAAAATCAAACAGTTTTGAAGATAATATAATATATAATATAATAATATAATATAATAATATATAATATATAATAATAATATTATTTAAGCCTTTTTTTAAAAAAAAAAAAAAAAAAAAGCTAGCTAAAAAGCTAAATTTCTTGGCATTTCTGTGACACAGAAGATCGCTTGTCTTCACAGATTCTCTGATATTTGTGGGTAATTTTTTTATTTAATGAGTTATTTATTATTGTTCTAAAATTTGAATTTATTTTTATGCCCTGTACCCAAAGGGTAAAAGGGTATATTAGTTTTGTGCGAATGTATGTAACACGCAGAAGGTGTCGATATAGCCATGTCCGTCTGTCTGTCTGTCCGTCTGTCTGTATGAACGCAAGGATCACAGAAAGTATAAGAGGTAGAATAACCAAACTTGGTCTCCAGATTCTCCTACGCCCAAGAAAGGGAAAGTTTGTTCATTTTTCCCGTTTAAATTTAAGTTTAATCTCCAATTCCCACATGAAACACATTTATTTTACAAAGCTTTAAGGCTAGGTGTAACCCATTATGGGTAATCATTGAATCGCTCTGCTGTTGTTAAGGCTCGACACTGCTAAACAATCATTGATTAGATCACTTTTTATAGTTTTTGGCTCATCAAAACGTAAAACACTTGTTCAGTTCGATCTTGTAGCCTTGCCAAACATCTGCTCGAATATGTAACGACGGGCACGGACTCGTCTGCTCGATCGCATCATGAACTCGTGCCGTGAACTGACATAAATAAATATTATAAATTTTATGGTTGATTTTGTGTTTGTGACAAGCGCGTCTAATTGCTCAATCACAACAACATGGCGATGTGAAATGCACTCGTTTTTATTTTCTGGTCTGGTTTGTTGGGTTTTATTCCCATTGTGATTGCGCACATTTGATTAATAAACAATTTTCTTTTATTATTATTTTATTATTAACGCTCGTCGTTGCCAACACTTTCGAGCTCAATTGAAAGCGACAGCAGGCAATTTTTTATGGCAGTCATTGGGTTGGTTGTTTTGTAAATTAGATTTAATTGGTAATTTGTAATTGTTTATAAACGTTTTGACAACAATAAAGACGACACCGACAACAACAGCAACAACAATCGCCACAATTGATTATGGCGAAAATAGAGTTGGAAAGAAAAGAAGCAAAATGTGTGGCAAAAACACACACAACAAAAAAGAAAAGCAAATGAAAACATGACAAATGAAAAGCAAAATGAATCAACAACAATGACAATGGCCGCAAAATTTGTGCTAATGATGTCAAATATTTGCTCGCATTTAGGTTCGCGCTTTTTTCGCTATTTATTTCAATTTTTTTATTGTTGTTTATTATTATTTATTGCTTTAGCACTTCCATACTGGGCCCTCAACATGTTCATCTACTCACCATAACGCTGTTGTTGTCGTAATCCTCCGATAGACTGCTCTTGCCGCTGGCACTGCTCGTGCCGATGCCCAAGTCGCTGAAATCATTTGCCTCGTCCTCGTTGTAGACGGCCAGAGAGGCCAGCTTAGCCCGTGCACGAGAGCCTCCCCGTTCGGCTCTATAGGGAGTTGAAATAGAACATTAATCTTCAATACTTCTGTGTCAGTATCACAACTGGATGCCCACCTTTCCTCCATCATTTCGGTAAATGTTTTCGATTTTCGGCGCATGCGATCATGTTCCTCCAGTTCGAGTTTTTTCGTTTCCACCACACGATCAATGATGTGTTCGACACGTTTTCGCCGCGATGATTTCCAATTGTCAAGGTTCTTTTGAATGTAGAAGAGAAGCGAAAGTTAGCATCAAAATAAATAAACCAATGTACTTTTCACTTAATGTGAGTGTTTGTGTGAAAAAGTGAAAAAGATTTCGCTCGCAATTAAAAAGTTGTGCTTGGTTTACGGCTGACCAAGAGACGTGACAAAGGTGAAATGTGTCGCGATTGTTTGTTTTTTTATATACTCGCAAGATTTGGGCCTTCATCGTATTTTCCTCTTATTTACTTGCGGGCATAGTTTTTGCACAGACTATGAACTGAACTGGAGATAAACTTCTCACATTTCCGTCTCAATAGTACATGCATGTACAAAATTATCACAAAAACCAAATCGCATTTCCAAGTCATAAACAAAAATAGGGCCAACATAACTTACAAACTGTTAAAGAAATGATAGGGTTTCTATTTTTCTTGTGCTTGTAATGATTTATAATTGTTTATAAAACTAGTACTACCCTAATCCGTAGAACTTTATAAACTTTATTTTTGTTTGTATTATTCATTCACTTCAGCATCACATAACGTTTCAGCGATATTTAAATTACTTTTTAGCTCGACTTTAATCCCATAAATATTAATATGGTTTCTGTATCTATTCAAATACAAAATGCTTGAAAAGTTGGCCAAACTAACTTTTGCCAGCATGTAAGCCGCTCTATTTGAATTAAGAGCCGCAAACTTTGGCCAAACTTTCAACTGATTGAAAAGTTTTCGCACAAGCACTCGTATGTAGAGTTCACCAAATTTCCAAAAAGACAGAAGCAGACAAAAAATAAAAAATAAAAAGTGCGACACGTTTGTCGTCGACTAAAAGGCCATTAAAACGGCTTCTTTTGGACTTCCTTTCCCATCATTAGGCGCCAGTAAACAGTGCCGTACGCTACGCGCATTTTAATAGATTTCGCATAAAACAATAAAACAAGAGTTATGTCTGAGAAATCGACAAATCCAAAAAGTATGGAGCAGAGTCGCAATGTTGAGATTTGTGTCCAGTATTGCCCCACAGCCATAGCCAATAAATCAAATCCGTCAAAAACATTTGAAATGCAACGCTGCAGCAGAGCAACAGCTGATTAGGTAATGAAGTACAGTCACGTCAAAACGGAGCCCCCCATATGGTGACGCGTTTAGCTCTAAGAGTGTGCCAGCACATTTGCATGTTACGTTAAATTGTGTAAAAGGCAAAAACTGCAAACTATCAAATTGAACTACAAAATGGTAACAGCCACATTGCATAATCCGAATGGGCGACGACGTGCATTGGAAACTGGAGCGCTGGCCAAGTCAACACAACCAACCAACCAACCAGTCAGTCAGTCAGTCAGTCGGAGTCAAAGCCACAACCCAAGCCACAATCTAAGCCCAAGCTCTGTTTATCTTGACTGGCCAATTGTTGTGACTTGAGTGCGCGATAAGTTGAACGTATGCGAAAAAATGTCAACGAGCGATTTAGAAATTTGTCACGATCTCTTAAATACTGGTACACTGCGTTGCTTAAGCTCGTCGTGTGATCTTGCCAACAATGGCTTATGGTAAGATAAAATGCGACATTGCTTTTAACACTTCCGTTGCGTCTGCACCGCATAATCGTCTTGTCAGCGTCTCTTAACTGCCTCTCCAACATACATACACATTACTACACCCAAAGAAAGAGCTGAATATGAAATTAATTCAAGAAGAATCGGGTGTCATATAGACGATCATTCAGAAAACATGTAAGGTCTCTAAAGTCTTGAGAAGTAAGCTCTTCGACTTTTATTCATTAAGATCATCCCTGACCTGGTGTTCTGAATGGTCCAGGCAGAAGACAACTGAATATTATTCTATTATTATTGCAAAAAAAAAAACTCTTTCTAAGAAAGATAATCTTGGTATCTTGGATATACAAGAGAGATATGCATTTTAGCCTAACTAGCAAAGCGCTCAACTATTATAGCACCAAGATACTCCAATTCCAGCGACTAGAATGTTTCTTCGGTTTAATATATTTATATATATTACTTAACTTTCGTATATATTTTAGATTTAAAACTTATTAATTGGTACACAAATACGTCAAACTTGATTAGCATGTCAGAAAAACAAAAATAAATATTCTTATTATATTGGCTTTTCACTTCCTCTTTTCGCTATTGCTGTACAAATTATTTGAATAATGTCCGATTCTAATAAATTTTAGTTTATATAGCTGGGAATTGGGGTACGAATTAGAATTGTAGGCTAACCATGTGAAATCTTCAATCAAAATAAGTCACGTTAATCAATAAACTCAGCGTTTTGTTTTTAATTATGTACTAATCGGAATTATAATTTTTTTTTGTGTAAGCTGGCAACTCTATCACTGTGTCACACCACTACCTTCATTGCTTACATATCTATGTGGGCTTGTGCTTCTAAAACTGATTTTTATCGATTTTTATAATGTCCAATGATTCAACAAAGAAGTTCGGTTAAATTTTGTGTAAAGAATGTAATTTCAGAAACCGAAACGTTAAGATTGCTGCAGAAGGCTTTCGGAAATGTCGAAAACATATCTTTAAACCATAAACTGTTTACAGACGGTCGTAATAGTGATCAGAATGAAACACATCCAACACGATTAAGAGCATCAAGTGATGAACAGCACATAAAGCAACTTAAAAAGTTGGTGTTCAAAAATCGTCGATAGAAAATTAGGGACATTTCTGCTGCTGTTGGTATTTCGAATGGATCAATCAATAAAACTTTCTTTGGCAGCATCGGTTTACACGTTTCAATACATGTTAGGATATTCAAGTCTAATAGAAAAATATACTGAACGAAATTCCAGAATATAATTTTTGAGTTCTTATAGGATTGGAAAAAGCGTTGGTACATGTCAATGTGATGTTGATGAATAAATAAAGATTTTGCAAATTATATAGTACATAGTTGTATAGCCAATGGATGGATTGGAAGCTTCTTTTTGAGTTTAATTTTAGCATTAAACTTGCTAGACAACTGTCAACCTCTTTCGCATCTTTATAATTTTTAAAGGCACTTTAAATTTAAAAACAACATTTTAATAAGATATTATTCTGTCATGGTTTAATTTAAAAGACTTAAGAATTGTTCAACTCAGGAAGGATTTTAAAAAATTTATACAAATAAAAATAAAATATGTATACGAGTGTAATATGAAATATTTTGAAATATAATAAATTTGACGAGATATTTATTTGATGGATTGCGTATTATTACCAAAACGATAAAACAAAGCCTTGAAGTTTTTTTCTCGGTGTATACTTACATTCTGCCACTCCTCGGGCTCTTCTTTCTTCACCTCCTTCAACTTCTTGACCTCTTCGGCCTTTTTGAGTTGCTGCTGTGCTGTCTGATATAAATTGCACGGCTTGATCTGAACAAACTGCATGGGGTTGTAAGAGGGTGGCGGCGGTGTTGGTCGCGTAACTCTGGCCTTGGTCACATACGATGTGGGATCGGGCGATGTTATAGTCTGCAATTAACGCAAAATGCAATAAAGTAATTATAATAAATTGTTTCAATTGCATTGAATTGAGCATCGGGTTTAATATGCAAATTGGCCAGCCAATGGAGTCAGCGCCAACAACAACAACAACAACGATCGCTCGGCGCCTGTCAGATGTGTCTGTCAAGTCAGTCAGCTTGGTGTGGGCAGCGTCGCCAGCTTGAGTTGCTTTAAAGCCTATTAAGTGTTTACTTACTTGTATGCCTGAAAATCGAAGCTGGCGATTGCCTTGAACCGACTCAATAGTATTACAATATGAGTGTTTGCATTCGATCGGCAAGCGCCGAGGTAGACTTATACGGAAATTATGAATTCATGTGCAAAAATAAAGTTGATGTTATGTAAACAAGCTAAGCCTTGACATTGTCAAGTCCTTATTCGACTTATAGAGAGAGAAACATTGTAAAAAATATGTGAGGGCGGATTAATTTATAGAAAATACAGGGACGACTTAGTTATTTATTTTCCTTTGTTTAATTGAATTGCAAAGGCTACATACACTACACCAAGTTTAGCCAAGGACGAAAAGATTTCAATGCGCTTAAGAGAGAAAAAAGTTCTTATGGCTGAGTGTTTGCTAAAAACTCAAACTTTGTCTCCAAGTGAAGAGGAAATTAAATGAATACAAAGAAAAGTTATACTTAATTATTGAATTACAATTAAAATGTCTCATACTTATAAATGCACGCACAGATAATTTGCACACTGACTCCAAGTTTTAGAGGCAGGTCGTTAGGTTAATCATTTTTCAGTCCAAAAACAAAATGAATAGACATTGAATAGATAGTGGTAGAACTTTTGACAATAGGTGTTGTAAGTCCACGAAAAACATTTGCCACAATCTGAACTCCGTGAAATTAGAATTTTCAAGATCAAAGATTCGAAGACTGGAACGATGATGTGCAAGAGTTGTTTGGAGATAAAGGTAAGCAAGCAGATCAACCTCAGATGACAGAAGCTCTGAAGGAACAGCCTGAAGAATAGAACCTATAAATGGTTTAACTATAGGGATGAAGCTTTAAAAGTTTGGTGAAATCTTGAAACGTATATCCATATTTTGGATTAAGCTAGGATTCGATTTGAGGATTTCTACGAACGCAGCTCCAGTCTTAAGCGAGGACTAGGTACACATTATTTGTAGAAAGCTGAAAAGTCCGTTAAACGAAACAAATTCGAACAATTCTAATCGTTTTATTCGTATGTTTAATTAAGGGCTAACAACAGCTACATTTTCGAAAAAGCTGAAATGTTGACTTCCAAATCCGTTGAATTAAACGAAACAAATTCTATCTAATAGTTTTAGTTAGAAATGAGTATTTTTAATTAAAGGCTAACAACAGCTGCCAGCTCTGATTCCAATCCATTAACATAACGTCTATATGTATGTATATTACTTGTATATATGTATGCCTGAGTAAAGGTTCATAATGATCCGTAAAGTTTCTGGAAATAATTAGCCATTGCTACTGCATTAAACCGAACCGTAACGTAAGCTGCAGACACGAAAATTATTCAGAAGTCAATAGCATCGTAGAATTGAAGCCCACAACAAATGGTTTTAACAATTTTCCATGGAAACAATCGTCGCGGTCGCTTCAAGAGCGTGCTCTATGGCCAGTTTCGGTTTCGGTTTCAGTTTGTGCCTTTGGCCGTCAAGTAAGGCCGAGAGCTGCCCGTCTTGTGATGGCCCGCAGCCACGTTCAATGGGCAATACGTACTGCCATAGTTATTGGGCCCTTTTGTTGACGGAAGCGGCCGAGAGGTGTTTCGTCCACGCTTCACTTAGCGTAGCGTTGATTTTGCAAGGGACCAGGCCCCAGTGGGTGGCAGCTGTGGCTCTTCAGATATGCCTAAGAAAGGCAATGGAAACCTCTTAGGTGTTGCCGGCGGGTTTGCTCGAAAGCAAAAGCAAATGCGCTTTTATTTCGTGTCGTTTTATGCTTCTGCTCTTCGACAATTGCATATTGAAACGCTTGACTGACTGACTGAGTGAGTGAGTGAGTGAGTGACTAACTAGGCAACTGAGCGAATGAACGTACGTATGTATGAGTGGACGAGTGTTTGAAAAAGTTTCATAAATGTCGATGGCGTTGTCGTTGATTGGCGCAATGTGTGTTTCTGCTCATGCACTATGCGAGTAAGCCTGCAACATGTTTTATAGCCATTGACGTCTTGTAGTCATTGCACCACCATTCACATTTGTCTTGTGTGCGGCAACAAAAACAACAGTTAACCCTAGGGCTGACAAGAGCTTGTTTTTCGGAATTCTGTGTACTGCTCTACAACTATTTTACAACTTTGCTTGTAAAATATAATAGTTTGAAAATTAAATACATGATAACCCAAATTTCAACTCGGACTCGTCCAATTTGACATTTTTGAAAAATATATTTCTTAATTTTATCTCAAATTGTATTAATACTATAAGACTAATTACTAATTCTGCTACTTTTTTAGAAACCTATCTACCGTGTTAAAACAAAATGAGGTGTATTTTATTTGTACACTCCATTTGTTAAGTAATATTTTGGTTCTTTAGTTTTAAAGCTTCATAGGAAAGTAGTTCCAGCATCTAATTCCAGAAGAGCATCACGCTCCAACAAAAAAAGTCAAATTTATCGGAAACTTATAGTCGCAACCGCGCTGATTTCCTTTCTTTTAATACCTAAAACAACTTCTATGTTGGGTTGATTGGTTAAATGCCTTAACTACATTTATGGTTAGTACTAGTCCCGGTTTTTAGCTTCTGCTTAAATTATTTATCGTTATTTGGTTTCTAACGCATAATTACTTGTTAATCAAGCAACATTATTGTCAAACGACTAAGGCTCTCTATAGATTGCACTCCGTTGTATAAACCGAGAGAATGTTCGTTGTCAAGGCATTTGAAAACTGAACCACGGTTAATATTTATATAACACAAAATCATATCGGATTGCATTTTTTCTATCGAAAATAAGCTGTTCTGTAATTCAGAACTTTCGTCGAGAAATGGCGACTCATTAATGCAGGTATCACTATGGCAGAAAAAGCTCAACTCTGTACTGCAATATGCGAATACATTTCATCTATTGTTATCTGTTTTTTATATTACATATATATAGTATTTAATTGATTCAATATGAAAAAAAATTAATTAAGAGAGTTTAAAAAGTGTATACTGGTGTGGCAAACAATCCTTGAATGTAAGCAAAAGCAAGTATACGAGTCTAGTGTAGTCTAGGCTTATTATCCAATAATCGAATTTATTCGACCATTACATATATACGAGGTCTGTTGAAAAGGAAATGTGAATTTTCCGTGCAATTTTCTCGAATGTTTTGGGCATGAAACGTGTGGCAGCGAAGTTTGTTCCGAAATTTCTAAATTTTGATGTTGTTCGTGATTATTTGGCCAAAAACAACACCGTTATCATGCCTCAACCACCGTATTCATCAGATTTAGCTTTCGGCGACTTATTCCTATTCCCAACACTGAAAAGACCCATGAAAGGAAAGCCTCTTGTCACAATTGATGAAAAGCGCATTTTAGAAGTTCTTCTAGGATTGGAAGAAGCGCTTGTATAAGTGCATTATATCTGAGAGGGATTACTTGAAAGGGGACAAAATGCACTTTAATGAATAAATAAATACTTTTCGGAAAAAAAAAAGCAAAATTCATCTCTTCTTTTGAACAGACCTCGTATGTAGATAAAGCATAATCTGTATTATCTTATCGATGCCACTTTAGAAACTTCTATAGGCAATGAAAGCCATTCGTCGTTGAATCGACGAACTAACTATTGGATTGAACCTAATATTCAAAATGTAGTCTCCCAGTTGTCGCAGATGGGTTAACACGTGAGGTTTATTGACTTTTTACATGATTTTCTTGTGCGTTATGGCTGCCGTTTATTTGCCGCTGTTGCCGCTGTTGTTGCTGCATTTGTTTGGGCTTATGTCTGCGCACTCATTAGGGGTATTAGGCTATCCTTGACTGGGCCAATTGCTTGGAAGTTTGGCTTTAAGGTTCGTTTGCTTACCGATTTCTTGCCACAACCATTTGTGTCACCGGCAGCGCCATTTGTGGATGTTCCCGATGTAGACATCAAATCTTCGTTGCTATCCAGCATGACATCCTGCTCTGGGCACTCCATGCTGGGTATGTGATGTGATTGAAGTGTGTGAGTGTAATTGTGTGTGGGTTGTAGTTGTATCGCTACTGTAGTCTGTTGGCTTGGAACGTTGGCGCTCTTCTCACTGCTCACTGCTCACGGCTCACGGCTCACGTCTCACATGCTGCAGGCATATCAAATGCACTGCAAAAAGGTCAACAACCAACTCCTACGCTCGGCTGCTCTTCTTCGATGTGGTCAATACGTTGCTGCGTTGTTATTATTGTTGCTATCGTCGTCGTCGTCGTAGTCCCCGTTACTGCCTTCAACATATCAATAAAATATTTGAAGTCTAATGCGCTGCCCACGCACGCGCCACCATCAAATGTCGCAATATGGTAGTTGAAGGTGTCAAATTTCATTAGCCTGCAACAGATACAAGATACAAATGAAACGCATATTAATTTCATGCCAAAGACAAAGTGCATATATTTTAAAAGCCATTTGCATAAAATACCAAACCCGATCGACCCGACTACGTGGGCTCGTCTCCATTCAAGAGGAAGAGAGAGCGAGCGACGAGGTGTTACAGCTGCAGACCCATTTGCGACGCGCTAATTTGACAGCTATGTGTTGGCAATTAGACAGATAGAGACACGTTAATAGAGCGAGGAGCAGAGTGGAAGCAAAAGTGCATGGCAGCTACAGGCTAGTAGCTCTATAACGAACTGTTATGAAACTTTTTTCTAACCCGTACACCATCTTATTCATAGCGGTGGCAATAATTCGGGGAAATTGAAAAATCATTTCTACTAATAGTAGAAATCAAACAATTTCTGAAATATTTGTCTAGTATAAAAATAGCCATTTTAATACATATGGGTAGGTACGAACTCCTACTCCTACACCTAGACCAAGACTTAACGCCATTTACTCCACCCAACCAATAGGGGCTTGTAATACATATTTAGTACATCTATTTATTTTATAGTTTATTGCGTGGAAAAGAAGTATTTGAACAGGCCCATTTTTAATTCCAAATTAGTTGAATTACATAACATTTAAAATTTCTACCTGCATTTATTTATTTGTTGGTGGAGTCAGGGCATGATCTAAATCTAAAAAGAATTTTAATCATATAGATTTTCAAGCTCCCTGCGTAGTATTCCTTGTAACCGTCGTCAACTGTTATTTGCTTAACTGCGGTCAGTTAGTGTGGAATGCTGAGCTACTTAAAGCTGCAAGACAGATATCCGTCAAGGATGCGAAGAGCAGAGCTTTCGAGCATTTCCTAGATAAGCAGCTGAACAATGCTTAAAAGTACAACTGAAAAGTTCAATTAACATTCATCAAAGTGCATACATAAGATGCTTCGTCTAATTGTGCAACTGCCTGCTTGGCAGACTGTCTGGCTGACTGAGTGGCCCCCACACTGGTATGCGGGTCAAGCTTGTGAATTTCACAGTCATCATCATCATCATCATGATCGCCATCATCATCCACATTATCCACATCATTGTCGGTCCATCATAGTCAGCCAGAGCCAGAGCCACAGCCACACAGTCTGTCGCCGGCCTCGGACAAATGTGCCTACAACTGCTTGACTTGATTGTCTTTGTCTTTTGTCTCCATATGCCGCCTTGAGTTCCCCCCTCGCCCCCTACCCCCCTCCACTCAACAAGCTACTCCCACTTGCTGTTTGTTCTACACATGAGTGCTGGCCCAGTATTTTTTGATCGTTTTGTTACGCTTTTTTCCCCCCAACTACTAATTAATAATTATTAAGTAGTATTTTCTCAATTTCCCTCCGTGCCAACACATTGTCTTGTAATCGAGCTCGTTTATTAATTTTATATCTAACGCTCGACTTTATTTCTTTTCTCAATTTCAATTTAATTGTAGAAAGTTGCCGCTTCAAACTTGACAAGTCATTGCACCGAGTTGAAAGGTTAGAAAGGGCGTCGTTCAAGCACTCATGACAACTGTCATGAAAGAAAACAGACGATAAGTGGGCTGCGAGTGGAAGTGGAGCGAAAGACTGTTCATATAAATAATTGGGTTGGCAAATGCTAAACAATTGATATTAAGGACTACAATTTTTATATATAACTGATGCCTAACTACTATGGAGACACTGCTAATTCATCCAACTAGTCAATGAGCATCGAAGCTAATTCAAATATTAGGATTTTGTGTGAGAGTTGTTCTTTCTGAAAATCGATTAGATAAAATTTAAAAGGGTATTTTAGGAAGCAGAAGAAGCGTTACTGCAACTTTTGTGCCAATCCACCAATTGGTAATCACATGCACAACAAACGCCCATTATGATGACTTTGAACTTGACTTTAAATACCATATTTATTAAACGAGTTTGAAGCCCACCAATGAGCTCCCCTAGAGCACCTTACTACATTGCAAAATGGGTCTACGAAGTCTAGCTCTTATTAAGGAATCCATTTTACTTGTAATTTAAATAATCATCCATAGCCATCTAAAAGGACATTTTTCGTTATTCTTCAAGCTCTAAGTATCCATTTCTGATTTGTTATTTTGAAGGATATTTAAAGAGATAATGCAAACAAGTCTTTCTGGTCAGTATTAAGCAATTTACACAGCATCTCTGTTTTGACCATCTTCCCCATAACATCTTTCACCAGCAACTAACCAAATGTGCATCACGTTGAGTGAAAGATATGCTAAATCTGATCAACTTATTACCAACACTTTCAACAGTTGCGGATAAGTGGACAGTTGAGCATACTTGTATATAGTATGTGAGATATCTGTGATATAGTCAAGTGTCAACGACGACGCTGGGGTTGAATCAACATGCGCAACAACCGATAAAGACAGCTGTTGTGCATTTGTTGGCAAAATGCTAATTTGCATATAAAAATGCAGCAACAACAAAAACAACTGATACAAAGATAACTGCAACTAAAAGCTGCCAGCCAACAAGCAGCAACTACTAGCAGCCAACAGTCAACAACAATTAAAGCAAAACTTTCAAATTGTAATAATTAACCGAGGAACGCATGGTTGGTGGTGAGGGGTGAGGGGAGAGGGGGAGGCGATAAATTGTGCAGTGGAAGGCAGTTGTTTGCTGCCCGCCAGAGTCGTCGAGTGCCTAACGACCGACTGAAACTAACAATAGATAACTATAATGACCCAAACAACAGTAACAACAACAACAACAACGACGACGACGACAGCAATTTAAATTTAGCAGAAAATCAAGTTAAGTTAAGGCTTTACATAAGTCGGACATGGCACAGACACGACAGCCACTTTCCAATGCGACGCATTGGTAATATGTAATAATTAGTACAAATACTGCACACACGGCAAAATGTTAATTAGATAAAATGGCAACTATACTTAATGGGGAGGCGAGAAAATTAAGAAAAGAAAGGAAAAGATCAACGCGAAACTTTAAGTTGAAGCTAAAACGTTGATGGCGCCAATGGAAAAACAAATGCCAAATGGCGGCAACATAAGTCAAGACAAGTCTTTGGATAATATCTTAGGAGTTAGTACAAATGCTATCAAGATGTGCGTCGTCAGCCAAGCAGTAAGGCGCTTTTGAATTAATTGATAAAATGGCGCAACAAGCGTTGCGTTTCTATTCTACTTGTATGTGCCTGCCGCCTATATGCCGTACGTACACGTATAAATGCCGACAATTGTCCGCCTTATTTTAGCTAATTAGCAGCAGCGGCTAGCAAGGAGAGGGAGACACCAGTTGAAACGATTAAGGCGGCCTGCAGAAAGATCAAAGAAGGAGCAGAGCGGCAAGCCTCACACAATGGCCAGGCTTTGAAAGGCTAAGAGATTGTACGAGTAAGTGCACCGATCATGCAATGAATTAATACCGGATTCAGATTTACAAACACAAACACACAGCTGTGATCGAATTGCTCCATCCAAAACATGTAAATACTACTACTAGTATTTATGGGCATTTTTTGGCCAACACAAATTTTAAGGTCAACAAAAAATGATTTATACAAATGCCATAATTGGATTTTAAGGCAGTACAGTCATCGCTCAAGCTCGGTTTTATTTATTACCAATATAAAACAAAAACTAAGATCAAAGCAGAGCTGTTGATTTATTTACCTTTTAATTAAGTCGACAAATGTTGCCTTCGAATATCTGCCAGATACAATGTAGCTAGCAAACAAACAAATAATATTCAAATATGCTCTATTATAAATATTTATTAGTTTCCTAACTGCTTCGACATTCACAGATCAGTTCAACTTTAGAGCTTGTGGGCTTCCTTTAATGGATTCAAAGCTTTCATTGTTAAAACATAGCACCGCGTTTTTCCGATAACATCTAATCTATGTTGCTAATAAGTATTACTTTAAATTAATATTCGTTGAAATGAATAGTCATTTTTTATGACTAAAGCGTAACTGCAACGAACAGTGTCTATGTCCGTGACTTTTTTTACCAAACCCGCGCTACCTTATCATATATAATATCATTAGCTGCTACCAAGTCGAAAACGCAACCGTTGCAGTTCAAATATCTGTACAACTAATGCCAAAATAAACAAAAACTCTATTTTACTGAAAGCCTGAGGCGCCCCGTTTACTGGCAAACAAACAACAACTCGACGTTCTTTCAAAGGCAAAACGCCTAATTAAATATTTATCAATGATTTCGATCTAAAAGGCAACAAACGTATTAAGTTATCAGGCCAGTGAGATCTAAAGTAGCATTATACATATAGTTAGATTATGGGCATTATTTTCTCGCTGGCGGCAGCAGGAGTGTGAGAACAATGGCAATGCTTGTTTGGCAAGCGCCTCTTAGAAAACTACTTACGAAAAAATACAAAGTAATACAACAATAATAATAATAATAATAATAATAATAATACATAGGCAGCCTTTGTGGCGCGGATAGATAAGCTATAAAGTAAACCTAATGGTCGCAGCACTCGACTCCAATCCGGCATTGTTTCTCTTCCACGCCACTTTTTCTGTCACGCTAAGTGGGCGTCCGAGTTTTTGGCTTGACAAGTGCAAATGGGCCTAAGTCGAAGACAAATTAACATGCAGTCGCGACACTTTGAGGCTGTTTACTTCAGATTCGGGAATAGTTCGAAAACAAAAAGAAGGAAAGATGGAAGAATAACAAAAGTGGGGCACACATTGAAGTCGCGGGTGCGACAACTGAAGAGTTTGTCAAGACCCTGCGACTGAGTCTACAAACCGTTACGCTGACTCAAGCGTATTAAATGTTTGACGTGACTTTAAATTAAAATTGTATTAAAAAAAAACCAAGTGAGCCGAGCATAATGATGATGGTAGGAGGGCGTCGTCGCGCGGTGCATTTGCCCAGCGGCTGGTCAAACCAAAAGTGTGAAAAAGAAAAATCACAGTGAAAGAGCCGAACCAGTGGGTTAATGGTTG